AAAAGGTCAGAATCCCCCCCCCCCCCCCCCCCCCCCCCCCCCCCCCCCCCCCCCCCCCGGGGGGTGGGGGTGGCAAAAAAGGGCATGGGCCCCCGGCCCCGCCCGCCCCGCACGCCGAATGGCCGGGGGGCGGGGGACGGTTGGCCCGTCCTCGTACGCGCGCGCGCGCACGCATACCGGCGCGCGAGAGCCGACCCCGCGCTGGCATCCTGCAGGACTGTCCCGCCAGGAGGGGCGGGCGAACTGGCCCGCCCCAGGGGCAGGGTCTCCCAATGTAATGTGCACGGCAGCTGCCCACCCACAGTCGCACGACAACGGCCCCCCCCCCCCCCCGGGGGTGGTAAATCCCCCACTTCCCCCGCGCCTCTCCGAAAAAGGATGGGGCCCGGACGCAAAGAGAAGAGAGGGCCGGCGAAGGAGGAAAGGGCCAGCGCGGGAAGAGAAAAGGAAAAGAAGCATGAAAGTGATAGATCGCCCGGAGGCCGGCGGCAGGGCCGGCGGCTGGAGGCTCCTTTATATTGGCCCCAGGACAGGGGACAGGGAGGGGGAGGAGAGAGGGCGGGGGGAGGACCGCCACATGGCGGTCGGCGCGCGTCCCAGGCCGCCCACAGGCACGGCGTGTCGAGGACGGCGGAGAAGCCCCGACACCCGCCCTAGTGCTGTGTCCACTGGTGGAAGAAGTCATTCTCATCCAGGATGCGGATGCCCTCGCAGAAGTGCGACACATTGACCAGCCCGGTGCCGGAGGAGTCGAGGGTGCGCCAGCAACGCTCCGCCTGGTGGTCGGTCAGGTGCGTGAGGCCGAACTCGAAGAGGAGCTCGAAGAAGTCCAGCTTCGTCAGCAAACCGTCGGCGTCCGAGTCGAACATGGTGAACAGCGACCGGGCCGCCGCCTCCTGGCGCTCGTCCCAGATGATGACCCCCGGCACGTCGGACGAGATGGCGATGTGGCTCTGGGCCAGCGGCAGGTCGCCGACGGCCGGCCCCCCGGCCAGGGCATCCCCCGACGTCACACCGCCGGAGCTCGAGATCACACTCGCCGGGACCGGGCCGATCAGACCACCAACACCGCCGGTGAACTGGCTGGCGCCCGCGCCGGAGCCAGAGGCCGACCCGGCCAAGGCACCGCCGGTGGCACCGGCTCCGGGGCCGGCCACCGGGGACGCTGGGGCCGAGGAACCCGGCGAAGTCGGACCCACCCCGGCGGAGGACACCGACGATGTCGGCCCAAACAAATCCCCCGAGGGCCTGGGATCGCCGGTGCCCAGGAAGCTACCCCCATCCAGCACGGTCACATACCGGCAGGGGAAGGTCCCACTGCGGCGATTGGCCAGCGAGCCGACCCACGTGCCGCCGGCATTCTTCTTGTGGATCATCACCACATCCCCACGACGGAAGCCGAGGGCCCCCTCGTCATAGGCATTCGGCGTGTAATCCTGCGTAGCCCGGGCATAGAAGATCACCGGGCCCAGGGCCGGGTGTGCCCACCGGGGCCCGGCGCCGACATCCTCCAGAGGAGCCGACGCCGGCGAGCTACTTGTCGAGGAGCTTACCGAGGAGGCCACCGATGAAGGCCCCTGGCCGGGGGTGCTGGAATCGAGGCCGGCACCACCGCCACCAGTGGCAATCGTGGCACTGCTGGCGCTGGCGCTGGCGCTGGCGCTGGCGCTGGCGCTGGCGCTGGTCCTGCCGCCACTGCTGCTGGCAACGGCGGCGGCGGCGGCGGCGGCACCGCCACCACTGCTACCGCCACTGCGCTGGAAGCGTTGGACCACCTGCTTGCGGATGCTCTTAAAGTGCAACTGGCGGCGGGGATTGGCGGCCTCGGTGGCCGGGTCGGCTTGCCTCTCGACCACGCCACCAGGGGGAGGACTGAAGAAGGAGCAGGGGGGACGAAGAGCGAGCGAGCGAGCGAGCGAGCGAGCGAGCGAGAGGGAGGGAGGGAGGGAGAGGAATGAAAGGGGAACAGGCGGGGGGTTGAGGTGCGCGTCAGGTCATGGTCAATCGTGGGCAGGATGCCAGGGCCACGCAGGAAGGGCGGGAAGACGCCAGGGAAGGGGTCAAGAGCGGGTCGAGGACCATCGCCAATGTCGGCCGTACCTTGCATTGCGGACGAGGGACTTCTGCAAGACATCGATCCAGGCCCACATTTGCTCATCGGACTGGGCCTGCAGGGTGTGGACACGTCCGGGGGTGCTGATGTCGAAGCAGTGGGGCCGGCTGGTCCGGCGAGAAGACAGGTGGAAAGAGGCATCCAGCGATATGGATGAGGCCGAGGCACTCGGCGGGTCGTCTTCGTCGGCTCCGGGGCCGGCCGGAGCATCAGCCGTGGCCATGGAATCGGCCGACCGATCGCCCGGCTCGGAGGAGGACGGCGGCGACAGGGGCTGTGCCCCCGTGCTGCCATCCGCGGTGGGATCGTCCTCCGCCGCGCCGGGGCCCTGGGCCGCCGTGGCGCTCGGCATGATGGTCAGCTCGGCCGAATTCGGCGACACCAAACGAATGAGGCCCAGCGGCTTGGCCGGGTCCGAGGACGAGTCCCGGTAGTAGGCCAGCGTCGACTCGCGCAAGACGAACCAACGATGCTTCCAGCTCCGGATGGAGCCACCCTGCTTGTGCAAGTAGCCCTCCTTGGAGATGTGCTGCGTGTGTGGGAGAGAGAGAGAGAGGGAGGGAGAGGGAGGGAGAGGGAGGGAGAGAGAGAGGGAGAAAGAGGAGAAAAAGAGACAGGAGAAAAAGAGACAGGCGAAAGAGAGAGAGAGAGAGAGAGAGGAGGAAAAGAGAGACGGAGAGAGGGAGGGAGAGAGAGAGGAAGAGTGAGTGAACGTGTCCATCCACCCATGTTCGTGAAAATGGGCGCGCCAGCGAGCAGGGGGGGGGGGGGCCATGCTATCCCGGGGGCCAGGAGGGGGAAAAATCATGGAGGCACGAGGAGCAGGGATGCGCGGAGGGAAGCCCAAGGACACGGCCATGTCGCGAGGCTGGAGGCCATGCAGCAAGAAAAGCCAAATGCACGCCGACAAGGGGGCGAGGACGCACCGCGGAGCGCAGGAAGGCACTGATTTCCTCGACCGAGGTCGGTGGCTCGGCCTCCTGCTGCGCATCATCCAGGTCGCTATGGAAGCCATCATTCGAGGGAATCAGCGACAGGTGGCTGGACGAGTGCAAGGTCAGCGGGAAATCCCCGTCAGAGTCCGAGCCAGATGCCTCGTCCGTGTCCGACAGACCGGCATCCGACAGATCCATCGCCGTGGTGGGATGGCCAGCCAGGGAGCTGGGCACACGCAGATGCGGCGCCACGCCGCGCGCCGGCAGCAGAGCCGACGGGGTGGGCGCGCTGCTTGCCGGGGGGACGATGAGGACCGGCGCAGAGGCCGGGGCCGAGATGGACCCGGCCATGCTGCTTGCCCGCGACCGCCCGGCCAGCGGGTGGTGAATGGGCCCACAGCCGAGGACCCCGGGGGCCAGACGCCCGAGCAGGGCCAGGGTCCGACCAAATTCCGCGTTGGCCTGCTGGATGGCCGTGCGCAAGTGCCCAAACCAAGCCATGGCGGCCTCCTGGTCTGGGGCATTAAAAAGAAACACCCGATTCGGGGTGGTAATCTCCAGGAGGAACTCCCGGTCCTTGTCCCGGTCACCGGCGGCGGCGCTGGTCCCGCCGGTCGAGGCGGCGCTGGCCAGGCTCACCTGCGAAGCGGAGTGCGCCGTCTGGGATGCCAGCGAGGCTGTGCCGGGCTCCATGTCACTGGCGTCCGGATTTTGCGGCGAAAACTCCCGGCCGCCGGCAGCCCAGCGCAGATTGGACACCAGGCCCAGGTCCAAGATGCCGAGCGATTCGCGCTGGGCCTTCCCATCGCGATAGTAATACAGCGCGTGATCCGAGCGCAGGACAAACCAGCGCTTCTTCCAGGACTGCCAACAATCGAGCCGCCAATGGGCATGGAGTTAGCCAGCCGACCCGGGAGATGAGATGAGCGGGCGGGCCGCAGGGCACACGGGGAGGGGGAGGAGCAGGGGCAGGAGGAGGACATGCACGAAAGAGAGGCGGAAAGGGGGCGCCCCCTCCCCCCCCCCCTCCCCCAGGGGCCCGGAGTCAGGGCGATAACATACCTTAAAGGCGCCACCCTGCTTGACCATGAAGCCGGTGTTGATGGTTTCCGGGATGGCCGGCGACGAGAAGAGCGGCAGACGGTGCTGCGTCAGCAGAGCGAGGGCCGCCAGCCACCGGGCGGCCGGCGGGTCGGACGGATCGGTCGAGGCGTTCAGGTAGTAGATCCGGTCCGGCATGCGGATGGTGAAGGAAGTGACATCGGCCCGCGCGGTGATCCAGTCGGTGTAGGTGCCCTCGGGATGGCCGATCCCCGCCGGGGGGCTTGGATCAAAGTTGTACACCGTCCGAAGCCAGATACACCCGAGCGGCTGCGACCCGGACAGCTGCTTGGCCGGCGTCTTCCAGTAGGCCAGCTGGGTCGGGGTCAGAACAAACCACCGGCGCTTCCAGGACTGGATGGACCGGGCGGGG